ATATTGCCCAACAATGTGTACATGGGCTAAGAGTAAATTAGTGCAAAAATAAAAAATAAAAAACATGTTTCAAATTTATGTCAAAATGTGTTTGAGGCACATTATTTTGAAAGAATGTATTTTGGAATAGTAGATTGATGGAGAATGCGTGGCTGAAAAAGAAAAAAAATTATTGATGTGATGGAAAATATTATTTTATTAAAGAATATGTTGTTAAAAATGAGTTGAACAAAAAGAATGAAAATTTTAATGTGGCTCAAGCAGGAGCTCAATCACGAATTTTAATCATAAATTTGCGAGGACCACAACTTTAACTAATTTTTTAATCACACATTTTATTATTTTTTTATTAAAGTTTATTAAAAATATAATTTTCAATGGAGATAAACGTTGATTGATTATTATACTCGTGATTGAAATGATTAAGGCGCCGCACGCCATCACTCTCAAATCAGAAGTCCCCACTTTCACAGATGCACGTTTTGCACAAATTTCCTTTGCTTGCCATTAGTTGGTCACCAACACCAACACAGTTATGTGTGTATCTTACCAAATATACAAGATTCGAGCGTTGGTACTATTTCCAAAACGTGTTTTCTCATATTTTAAATTTTTAATAAAATTTTGATATCTAGAGAAAAAAGTTTGGGAATTTTTTGTTGCTTTCAACTAAGAAGCAATTTTTTTGAAGATTCAATGAACAATTACATAGTTTCAAATTTTAAATCTTGTACTACGACTAAATTAACAAGAAATTATAGTTTAAAATAATGTTAAATAGATTTCTTATAATTAAATAATTAATTTTTAAAAAATAAATTATAATATTTGTATATTATTTCATATCCTACTTTTCTCATAAATAGAATTTCTTAGTATTGTAATGTTTTACTTTTTATTTCCAATTTTGATTTTCGTTTCAATGGGAGACAATGTATGTTTTATTGAATTAATCTATTCTTACAACGACAATGTGTGTGCTCGCAAGAAAACTAGCGACTGCCAAAACAAGTTGATATGGAAATTGCCGAATAAGTGAATGTCACGTGACATGTTGTCTAGCAAATTATAATTCATGATTGTACGCAAAGCATGATTAATTATTATTTACATACGTAGATTGTATGAGTGATATGAATTCTGTACATCTAGCATTACATCCCTTCCTATGTGGTGGGTGACGGTACATTAATATAATTCAAGATTCAAAATTAATGGTGTAAATGATGACATGTAAAAAGTAATGTGTACGTGAGTGGGGTGGAGTTGGTTTGAATTTGTTTACCTATTTCCTTGACTTCAACAAAAATTACTGACCTTTTCGTTTCCGACAAGAAAAGGAATAGTCAGTGGGTGGGTCACTTGTAATATTCATTGACCCATATGTAAGATAACAGGATATTTGGTTGAGTTTAAAAATAGGTAAATTTCATTCACAGTCACTAAACTTTCACTGAAAGTTAAATTGAGTCATTATCGGGGTAGTGAACGTCAATTTAGTTTTGCTACATTTCGCCAACTACCATCTCTCATACTAGCAGAATTGCTTAGTTGGTAATTGATCCTCCATGCATCTTTAGGTGGAACCCTACGTTAATGCGTATTTTTAGTTTTAAGACTTTTCTGACGTAATATAATGATAAATGGACAAGTGAAATTTAAAACTAAATTACAGTCCATGTCCAATTAATTGATCACACAGGTAATTATTAAAATTTTACTAAAAGTTCAATAATTGTAAATGAAATTCGCTCTTTAAAAACGTCTAATTAGTTGTTTTTGTTTGACAACATCACACGTGATATTGTTTAAACTAATAACTAGTAAGCTTCGAATAACTTCCACGACATTGGAATGGAGAAACCAAAAAGGTAAAATGAGAGTTACGGCAACGTGCTTAGAATAAAACTTAAAACTTGTATAATAGTAAATTGACATGCACACAAGGATTATCACATTTAAGATTCGTAGCAGTATGACTGTCAATGAAGTAATTTTCATCAATTTGGAAAACAAGTGGTGTTTAGTTTCAGGTGTAATAATCTATTTGAAATTTTGTTGAAAGTTTAGTAACTGCAAACGAAATTTACCATCAAAGAAATCAAAATACTTTTGCTTTTTAGCATTGATATTCGTCGCCACTTAGAAAGAATGTAAAGAAACTTTTTTAAAAATAAAATCTTCAAATAGTGAAGAATTTTACCCACAAAATGGAGGGAAAGAATGACAACTCAAACAAGTCATGGAGTGAAATGGTGGAGCAGTTTCCAACCCCACAACAACTTTTCAAACCATAAAATAACTACCCAAAAGGTAATAAGCAAACTGTCACTTCACCTTCATCATCAAACACTCTTGTAGCTAAATAAAAAATAATAATTTATTTTATTCATTTTTTCACAATTGATCATCAGCTCTTTGTTTCTCCAAGAACTGAAGCATATATTTGAAGATGTTTGATATCCTTTTTGGATGGAGAAAAGCTTCTAAATGGTAAATGGGAATTTTGTTATGCTAATTCTGTTGGGTTTCAATGTATTGATTTCATATGGTTTTCGACAGCAAGAAACTTATACGAAGGGTTCAGTGTCGTCTGAAACTGCTCAAGAACAAGAGGAGTTGTATTGTGAAGCAGTTGCGCAAGGATGTGGCCGAGCTTCTTCGACATGGGCATGAAAAAAGTGCCTTCGACAGGGTAATTCATTAGAATTTTTACTTTGTAAACTCATAGTTTCTTGATTGTGTATGATCTTATTTCTGCTATCGGTTTACATGGAAGGAATTGAATTCTCTGCTTATATCCCACCGTGCTTAAAAGTAAACGATAAAGAAATCAACTACCTAAGTGAGAACTTAAGTGAAGTCACCAATAGCTCAAGTAATTTCATATTTGTATTGTAATTTGTAGAAATCGAAATTTTGAGATGATTTTCCTTGTTTCATAGCCTCTACTCATATTTTGCAATGAAATTTTCAGGTTGAGCAGCTATTGATAGATGAAAGTATGGTGGAAGTATATGATCTGATTGAGAACTTTTGTGAATGTATAATTAAAAATCTTGGCTACATCCGCAAACACAAGTATGTTTTGCTATATCAATTCAATCTCATCCTCGTGGGAATTATGGCTAAATGGATTGTTTTTGGTTACTTTCATAGGGACTGTCCGAAAGAATTTAATGAAGCAGTGTCGACTCTCATTTTTGCATCGGCAAGATTTGGCAATCTACCAGAACTTTTATCCATTAGGAAACTCTTTCAAGAGCGTTACGGTGAGAGATTTGCAAGTGCTGCGCTTGAATCACACCACGGAAATTTTGTGAATCATCAGGTTGTCTACTTGAATCGATGTAATTTGTTTATATAGTAGTACATTGAACTGTAACTATTTGAATTTATTGAATCATTTAATTGCAGATTAGAGAGAGCTTTTCTATACAAAATGTGCCAGATGAAGTGAAGTTCGACCTGTTAGATGAAATTTGTAGGACTTGTGTTGAGCCAGGGCTGCTGTTGCTTGAATACAAACCTGAGTTGCAAGAAAAATCGGAAACCAATCCTATAGGCAATAAGATATCGAGTAGCGATGACGATGATAGCCTTGAAATGCCGGTTTCCAACATTGAAGAGAAAATTGTAAACATTGATCTGTCATCCGAGAAGCAAACAATTTTGAAAACTCCGTGTGATTCTTACAAGTTTACAGCAGTCCAAACCTCAGCGCACATTATAGAAGAGAAACTAGTCAAGTCTTTACAGCATAATGATATGGTTAAATTTACAGTTTCAGAGTTTATTGGTGAAACTAACGGTGGAGGCATGGCAGACGAGTCTTCTTCAGAAACTTCAGTTCGACTACCAGAAGAAATGATATATCTTGATGATATTGAGGAATTCGTGTCTTCATTGAGCAAAGACCGAAATTGCCAAGATCAAAGATTATTCATGTTCAAATCATCTGCCATTGCCTTGAAACCAAAAATAGATTATGCTATCGAGAATGATCTCAAGGCAAAAATCATTCCTCGTAATGGCAAGGTATCAACGAAGTCGAGGAAAACTAGGAAGGCAGGTGGAAATAGATTGAGAAGATCAGTTTCAATAGAGAACAGAGATGTGAACGATGTTGAATATGCAAGTTACTACTACAGTGAGAAATTATCAAATTACAAGACGAAATCTCTTAATCGGAGAAAGCATCAGAAGAAGATTTCAGTCGAGGACAAGAATGGAAGTCAAGAAAATGAGCAGCACACTTGCTCTGTCAAAGTCAAGAGCAGCTTAAGTTTTGTCAAGTACGAAGAGAAAGAACTGAGATGTACAGAAACCGCATCCTCCAAGGTTTTTACAATGCGTAGTCTATACGAAGAAAGGGATGAGCAACCCCATTTAAGGGCAATGAGTATGCCTTTTGAAATGCCTAAAGAGAACGTTTTAAGGTCAAAGTCCTTCCCACTTCAACAAATTAATGGATCGTCTTGTTTTCGCCATATCCACCCAAAGCTTCCAGACTATGATGAACTAGCAGCCAAATTCATGGCTCTCAAAACGGCAAATTTCCAACCAATTTGATCTGTATTTTTTTTTAACAGCTCTTTCTTTTTGTATTTACTTAATAGGAAATCCATGGCTTAATTTTCTGTAAATCTGATGTAGCTGGACAAAGAATTGTGTAGGATACGAAGTAAGAATATTTATGGATTGAGACTCGTAACAGTACAATGTCCTAAAGTGAAATTATCTGTGGTTATTTGGACAATCACTTTCAGAATATAACGATCAAATCACTTTTGCAGCAATCATAAGCAAT